GCCAGGATCTGCACTCAAAAAAAGGATGGAGGTACGTTCAAGCACTGACGGACCATCTCTGGCGAAGATGGAAAAGGGAGTACCTCCATACCCTGATCCACAGGAGAAAATGGCAAGCTGACCAACGGAACCTAGCAGTCGGCGACGTGGTGCTGCTAGCAGAATCTGACACGCCCCGAGGTCACTGGCCGCTGGCGCGCGTGCTGCAAGTGTTCCCGGGGCCTGACGGCCGAGTCCGCGCCGTACAGCTCAAGACGGCAGCAGGTGGTACGTATACCCGGCCTGCCACGAAGGTAGCGCTTCTGGAACTTGCCCCGTCGCCCCCTCAGCCATCTCATTAGCCGACAGAACGCAAACAAGAAATGATGCTGGCTACTGTGGACTGTCGAGCCCACGTCCCCGAACCAGTTAAAGTAAGGAAGAGTATTTTGCGTGCGCGTGCTTACCGACGCACTCACTCTTCATTATTGTTTTGCTTTGTGAATTTGAGCTTCGTAACTCACGCATATGGCCGTCTGTGCTTTGTAGTTTGTCTTGTGAATCTGAACTTCATAAATCGCGCGTAATGGCCGTTTGTGCTTTGTAGTTTATTCGATTTAGGCGTGTAAATCGTACTTGTTTGAACGTCTTTGTCGGTGATCGTGTCATTTTGTGTTCTCCCTGTGGTCAAACACGGGGGTGGAGTGATGTCACCGACGAAAGTGTTCGGACCAACCCGCGCTACCGCTGTGCCGCCGTGATAGCCGACCGGCCGCCGTGCCACCGCGGCGCCGCCGCCGCTCGTTGCAGCCGTCCCGCCGCCGCACCGCCGTCACCCTGTCCAGACTCAGGATGAGTTGTGAGGCATTGTGCAGGGCGGGGCCGCGAGCAGACGCGGCCGGCGGTCGGTACGCGTGCCGCCGACGCTGCCGAGCCGCAGCAGCGCCGCGGCCGCCACCGAGACCGAGATATAAATTAAAGACACGTCGTTTTAAGGCACGTAGGCCGCCAAGCTGGCGCCTTCAGCCACCTCCCCGCTGCAGTGCAAGTTCGCACTCGTTTTGCACACGTCTTAAGCATTGCGTATAAAATGTGGGTCACGTACGACCCCGGCAGAGTCTCACTTCGACCGTCGCGCTGTGCGCACGGACTGATCTGCCCCGCTCGACGCCTCGCCCGGCTGAGCGGGGACAGAGTACAGAAGCACGCGCGCAGACCGACTCTCCTGCGCGCAGCCGCGCCCGGCGGGGCAGTGTCAGTGCTTCAGATTTGTACAGTGAATGTGAATGGTGCTCCGTGTCTGCGTGTTTCATCTACCGGTTTTCTTCACAACTGCTTCCGCTTCTTGCTTCGCGTATACTTCAATAAATCCTCTACGGGAAATCTTCACGTCTATCTACTACTGAAAATCGCCGAATATCAAAAACCCAGGAGCTCACATAGCAGGCGGGCGGGCTACGAATGTCGCACAAACTCACCGAACAAAATACAGTCCACATCCAACCAGAAAAGAACTCCGAGCGACAGTTTGTCGGCGACACCTGCCTTTAAATGCTGTTTACTTGCAAAAAACATCGATGCCAAACATGTATTTGTTAGCTAGTTATTCATCTGCATACAGAGATAAACTGGACATGTCGCTGTGAACCGGAGCTTGCATTGCGGTGCATCATGTATTTCGATTCTTATCTCATACTCTTCCTCTGCCCGAATGAAATGGAAGTCCCCAACCTAGCCTGACGTAATAAAAAGTTGAGATATCGTCGAATATCTCGGATAACTCGAATACCTGGTGTTTGGGTCCCCCAACTTGAGAAGGCTGAGCTCTGGAGGTTGGACTGTAATCGGCCGACTGTGACGCCGGCTGCCATTGTGTGCTGGTGGCCGGCATCCGGCGTCGTGTCGTTTACCGGCCCCCGAGACCCGTCTGTCGGCCGTGGGCCGCCCGCATCAGGTGGGCTCCTTCCGGCGGGGCCGGCGCTGGCACGGCGACCGCCCCCGCCCCGCCCCCGCCCCCGCGCCCGCATCTGCACCCGTCGAGCGGAACAGACTGAGCCGATCGGCCAATAGCGGCCCACCACGGCAACCCTAATCGCGCCGAGTCCTGGTTGACAGCACACCGATAGCGGTGAGGTGTGTTCCAAGGATCGCCCCTCGGCCCGCTGCTCTTTGCCATCTCTGAAAATGATCCGTATCTTCACGCACATGGATCTGGCAAACAATATCCAGACGTTGGGCACATGTCAGTAGGCATATCATGTTACAAACCGCACATCCATACAGTCACTCTGCGATTCGATTCTGCGAATCGAAGCTAACTATGCTAAAATGCTAATTAGTTTCGTGTATAATTGCATTTATTGATGTTGAGCGCTTTCAAGAAGAGCTAGTTGTGGTTCTTTCTGAACAAGTAGATATCAATGAAATTATGTTTATTGTGCTTCATTTGTTGTCTTTCATTTGTACGGTACTCCCCGTCGAGGTGCCGCTGATCGCCGACAAGCATCCAATAAATATTATTTGACTACCTACCTAATAATAACCTCAGGCCCATGATGAAAATAGAAAATCCGAAGTCATGATTTCATCTAGCTTGTATACTGAGGGGAAAACATCGCTAAAAATGGACCACGGGCGCTCTGTTGCTTACAGTAGGATACTGTGAATAGCATCTCAGGACAGTAAGCTTTTAAGACATCCTATATTCCATCCAAAATACGTATCAGAACAGGTGCACTGGCCCTGGGTTCGGAGATTTATTCTGAGATCAACAGCCCCAAATCCCTTCTGGATGGGGATTGGGCTTAGTTGTGGTTACAAAGGACTAGCATCAATGATCAAGGATCCCAACTGAAATCATTCCTAAACTTAAATGAAGATGCTGAAGGGATACTAGGGTCGCTTGTCTTATATTACGAATGCACCAGGAATTCCTGAACACGTGAGGTTATTAGATAGAGTTGCATGCCTTGAGAAAGGGCTAGCAAGCCACAACTCATGTTCTCCTAGCTATGCGTGATACCCAAAAACGCACCCTGAAAGTGGTAGTCTAGGCTGAGTAGCACCAGATGTTAGTGTCAAACAGTGCCCGGCTCGCGGCTGTGTGGGTCCTGAAACACTGCCGGTACAGGGTTATCTGAGCGCTGGTCTCTCCGCCGAAGAAAATGCGGCCGTGATGTCTGCTTTTGTTCGCCCCTCTCGGCTGATTTGTTTTTGTGACATATCTCCATCACAATCCTGTCCTTAATCGATTCGTAAATTTTATTCATCACTGCCACTAAAAAGTGAATGCTGTGAGCGTGATACAGCTTTGCGTGACTCTCGGAAAAGACGTAGGGATAAGAGGTTGATTATTCAGGTCGGTAATCTAGTGAGCGCGGTCGCACGCACGCCCCAACAGTTACTTGCCTATAATCTGTTCAGATCTGAAGGCTGTTGGCCGGCGGGTGGCGGTTTCGAAATATAACCGGAAAACAATTACCGCCGGCTTTCTCGGGAAGTTACCCCGACTTAAATTCATTCTGGGAATAATTCTGTGGTGCGGCCTGTGTGGCAATCTGCGGGGGCGGGGCGGCTGTGTCCGGTTGGGCACAGGTGCCGGCGTGGTCGGCCACAGCTGTGTCCAACTGCTGTCACCTGTCTGTCGGCCGCCCCCGCGGCCAAACCACTGATCCCCCGGTCCGGTCCCCCTCCTCCCCCTCACCGCAGCAGGTCAGGGGTCATCCCCGTCTGTTCCGAACGGGTTCTGCAGCGCCGGCGAAAACGTCTGCTTTCATCTTAAGTCAGCTTGAAAATAAACCCAACATCGGGATGTTGTTACACCGGACCGACACATGACGCAATGGCATGGTTAATTTGATGCATTTATGTCGTCAGCTTTTGTAGTGCCTGCCTGTACGATACATCAGGGTTTTTTCTATACCCAGACATATGTAGAACATCTGCTTCAATAATGAACCAAGTGTGCCACAAGATTAACCCCAAGAGGGGTCTAAATTAATATTGCATGATACCGTCTTTGATGCGTTACCATTGTGATTACATCACACATTTAGATTTATTGTCTTCCGTATGTGGATCGGATCTTTCTATTTCATTTACTCATGGTACGGCCGAAGCTTTCATAACTGAGGCCGGTTTGATGATTTTACAGTTTACACGCTTATCGAGTGTTTTTAATTTTATATTGAACAATGCACAAATATAACGTGACGCGTGTCGGCTGCGTGTTTTGCGTTTTGTTATTTTATAACAGTTCTATATGATTGTTTCATCACTGAGTTGAGTGACCGCCAGAGCCTGTGGTTCATTCATACCCACGGGCTGGGGTTGGTCAATGGTCAGCTCATCTTTGTCCGACTGAGCTGACCGCGTCCGTCGCGGGTTGTGTATCGTCGTTCGTGCCGACGTTGTCTGGCCACATCCGGCCTTTGTTGATATCACGTGCCGTGCGGACTCCATATCCGTTGGTCTTATCTTGGCTGATCCACTATCCACTGTATCCGCTATCCACTGTCCGTGAGTATCCGCTAGTCTATCTGGCCTGACTGGGTGTATCCACTGTCCGTGAGTATCTATCCGCTAGTCTATCTGGGCTGACGGGGTGTATCCACTGCCCATGTGTCCGACGATACTGTCCGGCCGACATTGTCCATATACTGACTTACTGACCGGATGTTCGTGTCCATAGTGTTCGAACACCTTCGTTCTGTGCTGACGTATGAACATATTTGTTGCTGACCGTGTGTGGTCGTGTCCGTCCCAGTATCCGTACACCTCCCTCCAGTGCTAACCGTATACTCCCGCGTCCCGCAGTGTCTGTACGCCTCCTTTCAGTACTGACCGCGGACATCCGCGTCCCGTAGTGTCCTTACACCATCATTCGGTGCTATCCGCGTACACCTGTGTCCGTCCCAGTGTCCTTACACCTCCGTTCTGTGCTGACCGCGTACTCCCTGGTATCCCTCAGTGCCCGGACGCCGCCGGTCTGTGCTAACCGCGTACTCCCTCGTACCCCTCAGTGCCCGGACGCCGCCGGTCTGCTGCGCGAGTTCGGCCTGCGCCCGGACGCTGCCGTCTCGGCACGGGACGTGGCCCTGCTCTGCCCAGCGCTGCTGTACCACGCCGCCGCGGACACCTGCGCCGTGGTCAGCGCTGACGGCCTCGGCGAGCCGGCGCCTCCGCCGCCCTACACCGTCCCACCGCCGAAACGTGAGTCCCGCTTAGTCATCCTACTCACCACCAGGGTAATCGGTTTCTAGTTATTCGGATCGGTAATCGGATCTGTGTGTGGTGATGTTAAGCGTGCGTTCGGACGTTTTTGCGTTTTTTGCGTTTTTCGCGTGGAATTTATTTCCACGCTGAGAAATTCTTCACGAAAACAGCCGTTTGGGCAGCGCGAAACGCGAGGAATCGCGCGAGATCCTGCGAAACGAGCCTGCCCGAACGAATGTTTTCGTGAAGAATTTCTCGGTGTTGAAATTCCACGCGAAAAATGGCCCGTCCGAACACACGGTTAATCGCCAAATATCAGTATTCTTTGCGACATTTCTTTTTATTTTAGTTTTTGATCCTGGATCCGTCTCGTAGTGATCTGAAAGCGCGTTTGCGTGTTTCAGCACGGTTGGATGCCGGTTTGTTTTTAATGTGACTGTGCGCTTGTGCGATTCAGTATGACTGTGCTAGCCTGTCGGTGTGTCTGGCATATTCTGACTGTGCGCGCTTGTGTGATTCAGTATGGCTGTGTGCCAGCTTCTAGGTATGTCTGGAGACTGACTGGGCGCTGTGGTTCAGTATGGCTGTGTGCCAGCCTGGTGTGTCTGGAGCATTCTAACCGTGCTCCCAGTGTTCTGCTTCAGTATGGCTGTTGGCAGGTCTGCCAGTCATCTGACTGTGCGCCCGTCGCTCTCTTTCAGTATGGCTGTTGGCAGGTCTGCCAGTCATCTGACTGTGTGCCCGTCGCTCTGTTTCAGTATGGCTGTTTGCTGGTCTGTCTATCATCTGACCGTGCGGCCAGTGTTCTGTTTCAATGTGGTGGTCTGCCAGTCATCTGACTGTGCGCCCGTCGCTCTGTTTCAGTATGGCTGTTTGCCGGCCTCTGTATGATCTGACTCCGTCGCTCTGTTTCAGTATGGCTGTTTGCCGGCCTCTGTGTGATCTGACTCCGTCGCTCTGTTTCAGTATGGCTGTTTGCCGGCCTCTCGGTGCTGGCCATCAGCCTGTGCGGCCTGGCGGGCGTAGCCGTGGTGCCCATCATGCAGCGCGTGGTGTACCGCCAGCTGCTGCAGTTCCTGGTGGCGCTGGCCGTCGGCACACTGGCCGGGGATGCGCTGCTCCATCTGCTGCCCCACGTCAGTGCAGAGCTTACTCACAGTTTGTGGTTGATACCTACCAACAGCGTACTACAAACACTGAACCATGCGCTCAGTCCCCAGAATATTGCATAGAATGGACAATTTCAACACCTTGGCGAAATAATTAGTATCTACATATGGGTATGCGAGTTGATGTTGAGAAAGAGTTTAAAGTATCCCGCGGTTTTTACTTGGATATTTTGTAGCAAATGAATCCAACTAAGTAGATCCGACAAATCGCGCATCTCGTCAATGATAAGTCAGCCACGCTGTTGGATCGTGACGTTTCTCGGAGAGACGTGCGATTCAGAGACCTGACGTTTCTCGGAGAGGCGGGTGGTTCCAGAGACCTGTCGTTTCTCGGAGAGGCGGGTGGTTCCAGAGACCCGTCGTTTCTCGGAGAGGCGGGTGGTTCCAGAGACCTGTCGTTTCTCGGAGAGGCGGGTGGTTCCAGACCTGTCGTTTCTCGGAGAGGCGGGTGGTTCCAGAGACCTGTCGTTTCTCGGAGAGGCGGGTGGTTCCAGAGACCTGACGTTTCTCGGAGAGGCGGGTGGTTCCAGAGACCTGTCGTTTCTCGGAGAGGCGGGTGGTTCCAGAGACCTGTCGTTTCTCGGAGAGGCGGGTGGTTCCAGACCTGTCGTTTCTCGGAGAGGCGGGTGGTTCCAGAGACCTGTCGTTTCTCGGAGAGGCGGGTGGTTTCAGAGACCTGTCGTTTCTCGGAGAGGCGGGTGGTTCCAGAGACCTGTCGTTTCTCGGAGAGGCGGGTGGTTCCAGAGACCTGTCGTTTCTCGGAGAGGCGGACGGTTTCCAGAGAGATCTATTGCTTCTCGGAGAGGCGGGCGCTCCTCAGGGTGCGTGTGTTCTGTTCGACAGGCTCTGACTAATCACGCGGCGCACGGCCACGGCGACTCGGATGGCCACGACCACGGCCACGGCGAGGAGGGCAGCCACCTGGACGCCGTGCTGAAGGGACTGGTGGCACTGGTCGCCCTGGTGTTCTTCTTCGCCGCCGAGAGGGCCATCGGCATCCTGCACGGCACTTGCACACGGGACAAGCACAAGGTAAGGGTGACCGGTGGGCAGGCTGTCGGGAAAACAAGGGGATGGCTGTTGGCACTTGCACACGGGACAAACACAAGGTAACGGTGACAGGCTTCGAGGAAAACAAGGGGACGATGATGCCTATCCTGATAAACATGACGTAACGACGGGTCCGGCGCCTGGCGTAAACACACCGTAATGGCGGTGCCCGCATTATGGTTAATAGGAAGTAGATGCAGCTGGGTGGTCCTTTTTATGACTGAAGGTGAGGCTCGCGAGCGGACTAACATGGTAACGCTCTGTTATCACAGTCTGTCGGGCAACTGACTCAGCCATCGTTGTTCTCATTTGAGAGTTGTTTACTTGTACGTTTTTATGATGCAGACCAGTCCTCGTCGCCGCTGTCGTGTGCCAAGTGCGCTCTCTTGATTTCAGGGCGGTAGGTGTGCACGTTGTCAGTGAGCCGGCGCCCGCACAATGGAAAACTGCGCGTCGTGCACAGACTATCGGCCCGACTGTTCGTACCATGTCCCTGACCACGTCCACCGCTCACTGCATCGCCCTGTTTGTTTGTGGGCAGAAAATCAACAAACGGCTGGCGGAGATGCCGGGCCTGAGCCGGGAGCAGACCGAGATGATTGAACGCAAGCTCAAAGACTATCGTCACTCGGCCGGCGCCAACCACTGCTTCGGCGACCGTGACACGGAGGATGTTCTGGCCCGTGAGTCACCCGGCCTGCTGGCGTGGCGTGATCGGAGTAACGTGGCCTCACAGCAGGGGGAGCGTATCTCCGGAGTCCTGGGTTTCTGCACAGGAAGTGAGATGTTGAACCATGGATCACGTGATGTTTCTATGGAGATCCATCACCGCTGGGTGTGGTAACTAACACGGTCGTTTGTGCTCACAGGCCTGAACACGAGCCACGAGCACGACTCGTGTCCGGTCGGAGACGGCGACCCGGACGCGGACAATCACAACCAGACACCGGACTGCGGCAGCCAGCAGGCGGCGGCCCCGGGCTGCGGCTCCCAGCCGGCCAGCCGCACCAATGGACACCGGGCACAGGTGATTTAGTCGACCCGCACTCTAGAAAATGATTGATTCAGCCACGGATGCAAAGGAACGGTGTTAGATTCAGCTACACACACACAGATCGGCGATAGATTTAGCCATGAACACAGAACTGGGCGTGATATAGGCAGCCATAGACCGCACTATTGTAACTGCTACAGCAGCTGCTTGTCTTGCTGATGGTATAGCCGTAGCTACAAAAGTATAGCTGGTCTAACCAGGTGGGTTTAAGACGCTGTGTCTCTCCACTGGCCGCCCGTGACGCAGCGTGCTGGGCTGTGATGTGCCCTGCCTGACGCTCGCTCTCTCCTCTGACCGCCAGGCGCGGGACAGTGAGCCGGGCACCTCTGGCAGCGGCCGGCCGGGCCAGCGCTCCGACGACAACTGCGAGCGCTTCAACGCCGACGAGCCGGTGGCGCACAGCAGCGACTTCACGGTCATCATCCACGAGCACGAGCATCGGCATCACGGACACACGCACACCCACGGCCACATCCACGAGCCGGGCGGCTCGGCCATAGCCGTGGCCGGGATGGTGATCGTCGGAGATGGACTGCACAACTTTACCGACGGCATGGCCATCGGAGCGGCGTTCGCCGCCGGTCTGGCCAGCGGCCTGTCCACCTCGGTGGCCGTCTTCTGCCACGAACTGCCGCACGAGATCGGTGAGCACACCCGCCGACGGACGGACCCGATCATTGTCTTTCTCTCTGTTGACAAACCGCCGCTCTATCTCCCTGATGTAGGGTTAACTAGTGACCGTTCCCGTACATCTGTACAACGACTGGCAGCCCTTCCCCCTCCATGTGAGGGCCGATCACTGCTCATCCCTTATTCCCCGTCAGTCCCTGTGCACTGACCGATGACCGTCCTCCGTGATCTGCAGTCTCACGGCCATCCCGGCACGCCCTAAAGCCACAATGAACTAGCAAACAACTCTTCACTCACTGTGACCTCCATTTTCTGCCCGCAGGCGATTTCGCGGTGCTGCTGCAGTCTGGCATGTCAGTGCGTCAGGCGCTGTTCTACAATGTCGTCTCGTCGGTCCTCTGTCTGCTCGGCATGGTGATCGGACTGGTGCTGGGCAACATGACCGCCTTCAGCTCGTGGGTGTTTGCCGGCGCGGCAGGATCGTTCCTCTACATCGCGCTGGTGGACATGGTGAGAACACGCCCGGGACACGACGGGGGCGGGTTGTTCGTCTTCTGCGCCGACATTGGCGTGGCGAGCTGAGGTGGTCGGCTGTGTTTTGTTGAATATATCTGACGGGTGCGCAATGTTAATCTGGTGCTAGATTGGTTGATGCGAGGGAACTGAACGCGTAGCTATGACAAGTGTCTTATCTAACTTTGTGACAATGTGACACACTTGATCTGCTGGCTGTTTGGCTGACGGAGGTGTCTTATTTGTTTTGTGTGATAATATGACAGGTACCTGATCGGACAGATGGTTTCTGTACCTGTCTAGATGTAGATGTAGATGTAGATCGGGATATAGCCTTTGTAACGGCACCCCTTGTCTCTTCATTGTCACTTTAGCCAGGAATATGGATGCTACGACTAAGCAGGTTGACTAAGCACTAAGCGTAAACAAAATATGAGCGTGCGTGCCTGGAATTTGCGGGGGTTGGACAAAACAAAAATTGCAACAGTGAGCGGCCCATTCTTCTTCAGATTTATACGCCTGCAATTGCATTGGCTTGCTTCAAGCTTATTTAATTATCCGCCTTCTTGCTTTCCACTTATTGTTAAGAATATCTTTTTTAACCCTCGCCCGCACATGCCATTTTCCCATCCTAGAACGCACATGGGGGGGGGGGGGTGGTTGCCACCCCCCCCGCGCCATTTCGTTCCTGTTGGAGATAGAGCTTAGCAGTAAAGACCAAAAAGATTCTTTGGGAAGAGACGAATCCAATGATACCCAGTTTTACCTTCTCAGGTCAGTCATTGACCTTCCAGGTCAGGTCAAACTAAAAAATGTTGCTGTTTTGGGTCACCGTTGGATATCAAGTGCGCTGCTTATCAAATACCGATGACGATGCTGTTTTCTGGTGCCAAGCCAGCTAGAACCTCTTTGTCACACTATCCGACCAGAATTTTGCTGCTGAGGTCATTTCAGGTCAAGTTAGGTCAAGGTCAATTATATATGTTTGTATGTCTGTGTGTGTCTGTGTGTATACTGATGTGTGCACCGATTGTTTTTGGGTCCATATCACACGAAATCATGATCTGAGAAGCTTTTACCAAAAATGCAGTCAAAAAACTTCACAAAAAGTAAATTCAGCTTGCCTGAAACGCAATTATCTTAGATGACCTAGGTTGACCTTGACCCTGACCTTGACCCCTGTACATCGTCGAACAACATGTTCCATGATAGGTGGGAGGTAAGACTGGCAAAAAAGGCCGAAATCAGGGTGTCAAAAGCTCACAAGGCCCATGGCAAACGCAAGATGTTGAGAATTGGCCATTTGGGTCATGACATGACCTGAAAAACAAGGTCATATCTCCGAAACCAAAAATCACAGAAACTTGAAATTTTCAGTGGACATCAAGAAAGGATAGACGAGCAGCTATACGAATCAGCCTTCTAGCTCTAAAAATGTTGAGTGCAGAGCAGAAAGACTGCCTGGGGGGGGGGGTGGCAACCCCCCCCCCCCCATGTGCGGGCGAGGGTTAACTTCTATCTCTTCAGGTTCGAACAAAAACTTCCCAATAATCATTGCTTGGTTTTCCTGCATAGGTCTTTGTAACAAACCTGCTTTCCTCCTCTCCTCTCCTGCTTTGCTTTTCTCCTTGATCTATCCCATCTGACCGATTGACTGTATGACAGGTCGATCTTATTCTTGACCAATCCGCAAGACCGTTTGTTTGTGACGTGTTCCGGAGCTGACTGACTGTGTTTGTGACAGGTGCCGGAGGTGACTGACTGTGTGTTTGTGACAGGTGCCGGAGCTGACGGCCGGCTCCAGTGACTCGGGCTCCGGTCCGTGCAGCCAGCTGGCTCTCCAGCTGGCCGGCATGGGCTGCGGCGCCGCCATCATGCTCACCATCGCCATCTACGAGCACGAGCTGCACTCTCTGATCACGGTGCTGTGAGCGCCGGCCCGCCGAGCCGGCCGTGCTCCCAGGTGCCTGTCCTGCTGCTCTCTAAGGAGCTTTACCGGCCGGCCGAGCTCTACGGAAGTACCGTGCTCTCAGCGGCCTAGCTTGCTGTTCAAGTACCGTGCTCTCAGTTCCCAAACCCGCTCTCTAAGCATCTTGCTCCATGGTGCCTGCCCCGCTCTCTAAGTTCCGTGCTAGGCGCCTGTTCTGCTCTCTAAGTACCGTGTTAGGCGCCTGCCCTGTTAAGTACTGTGCTGGGCGCCTGCCCTACTCTTTAAGTACTGTTCTACCTGTCGGTAACCTGCTCTTACTTAAAGTAACCTTAAGTACTTAAAGTAACCTGCTCTCTGATCAATATGAATATGATCTCTCTCTCTCTCTCTCTCTCTCTCTCTCTCTCTCTCTCTCTCGCTCTTTTTCTCTCCCTTCCTCCCTCTCTTCTCTTTCTTATCTCCTTCTTTTTCCCTAGTTTGCCAGTTGACTGCGAAAAGAAGCAATCAACTGACATAGTACTTAAACATGACGTAGCTAGTCTAGTCTCACGCTCTCTAGTAGCCCACCGTGTAGAAGCATGATGTAGCTAATGTGTTAGTGTCATACTCTTTTTAGTTGTAGCCCACCGCCTAGCGGCAGACGGGACGGGGTGTTGTCTGCGCCTGCGGTCGCTGTGACCCGAGCTGTGTCGTACGGTGGGGAGACGCCGCCGCCACCGGTAATCATGACAAGTATTAGCGCGCTGGCGCTACTCGTTTCTGCGTGTGACGCGGTGCCGCTGGGCCGCGCTGAGTCGTGCCGCCGCTGTCTGCTCTCTCGGAGCCGTCTGTTTGTCTGTCTGTGTGCGGGTGCGGCAGGCGGTCTCGGCGCCCCGGGGCTGTCCGCTCCGGAGGTGCGCCCTGCCGTCCACCGTCCGCCGCCCACTCGGCTCTCTGGCGTCACCTGCAGTCGGAAGGTGTGGTACGTGTATGGTGAAAGGAGTGCCATATTTTTAAGCTTTTGGGTGAGTGTGTGCCTCATTTTCAGACATCACATGATTTTTGTAGTTATTATTTTGAATAATCTGGTCGTAATACATTTTCATACGTACGGTGTCGTTTATTACATGGTTAGCCACACGCAGTGGAGGAAAGCCCAGAGCAACTGTGCTGTTGCGTACTGTGCGGGGCCGCTGTGGCCTTCCCGACCCACAACGGTAGTGTAGCGTCAGTCGCGACCTTGCAGCTATCTATGATCGAAGTTCTGCGTGTTGCGAGCCAGCCCACCGCCTTCTTCAGGCGCATTACACTCCCGCCATCTAGGAACATCTGAATATTATTTTAATGTTGTGCGGGACAGTACACCTTCAGGGGCACAGCACTGCTGCCACCTGGGAACGGGCTTGAGTACCATGCCCGGCGGAGCAGTATACCTTCAGGCGCACGACACTGCTGCCATCTAGGAAGAGGTTTGGGTATTAGGGCATGTACTGCGGAATAGTATACCTTCAGGCGCATGATACTGCTGCCATCTAGGAAAAAGTTTGGGGACTAGGGTATGTACTGCGGGATAGCATACCTTCAGGCGCATGACACTGCTGCCATCTAGGAACTGCTTTGGGTATTCTACGTCCTGCGGAACAGTATACTTCTAGGCGCATGACGCTACTGCCATCTAGGAATAGATTTGAGCATTTCTTGTTCTGCGGGATAGTATGCATTCAGGCGCACGACACTGTCGCCATCTAGGGACAGATCGGGTACCTTATGTCGTGCGGAACAGTATACCTTCAGGCGCAAGACTGCTGCCAGCTAGGAAGAAGTTCGAGTGCTAGGATATGTTCTGCAGGATAGTATACCTCCGAACGGGACAGTACATCTGCTGTCATCTATGAGCAGGGACGGGAACGGGACTTTGTTCCTCTAATTCTCAACGCATAATTTCTTACCTCTGCCCAAGATTCTTCAAGATACCTCTGTCCTCTCATTGAGCGATAAAGTGACACAATAGAGGCTCCCTTCACCACTCACTGGCTTCACCAGTACTTGCGAGGGACAGGCTATTTATCTATTAAGTACGGCTGATCAGTGAACATCTTGTTCGCTTAGACCCCTATCTTAACCCGCGCGGGGCTGGGGGGGGGGTAAATTTTACCCCCCTCGCGAATATTTGCAATATCACAAAAACGCCGGCGCGCAGCGCCGCCAAACTTTCAGTACCTTTCCTTACATCAATTTGACACGTTCCCTGAAAATTTGAGCGAAATCCGTCGGAAAATTTTTGAGAAATTGACGTTTTAGTGACGTCATGTTCGCCATTTTCGCCTAAAAAACGGCAAAAGTTCAAACGCCGCTACCATCTTCATTTTTAAAGGAATTAAGACGTAAGAAAAAAGGATATACGTAATTCTACTTTGTCTATCAAATGGCTATCTCGGTTTTTTTGAAAATTTTGGATTTTGGCCCAAATTTTTTCAAAAAATGGACTTTTTTTGGGAAAATAACTATAAAATCCAAAATTTTGAGTGTATCGAAAAAAACGGAATATATGTCAGAGAAGTGGTCTATGTGCACCTACATACCAAGTTTTAGAAGAATCGGTTCAAAAATGTGGGAGTTATTCAAAATTGTATGACGTCACGACACACAAATTTTTTGAAAAATGACCTTTTTGGAAGTTCTAGACCTCGTACGGAAACAAAAATAGCACCATTCGATTCGCCGTGAAAAACTGCATCAGATACACACCTTTCTAGGCCTTAACAACCAACTTCAAAATTTGACCTCACTTGACCTGACCTTGACCTGACCTCGACCTGAAATTCATCCAGAGGTGGTCCATATCACTTATTGAGTGTGCCTATTGAATTCTATGAGTAAAATGACCCATAAAACATGTGTTGCACATGCCCTTTCTATATTTTGTTTTTGGTGACCTGACCTGACCTGACCTGACCTTGACCTTGACCTCTGAATGATATTGTATGCAACGAATATGGTCTTGGTAGCCTAAGAACACGTTTTGGGCGATCAGTCTCAGTCCATGACTCCATTCTTCGGCAACTACGGTGCAAGGCCGATACGGTAGGAACTTGCAATTTGTACCCTTGACCTGACCTTGACCTTGACCTCAAACTTAAAATTAAGTACATGTTTTTAGTTGTTCGTGATGAGATCTTTCGATTGGCGTTTGAATTTTCCAAATCGGACCATTAGTTCGGGAGATAACAGGGGGGGGGGGTAAAATTTACCCCCCCCCCCCCCAGCCCCGCGCGTTCGGCTGGAGACCCCAGCCCCGCGCGGGTTAAGCAACAACTGATAAAAAACAACGGAATGTTATAAAGTATTGAAAAAAGAGGAGTTACAAAGTAACTGCAATAATAGGTTGGATTACCATATCGATTGCTACCTCTCGCCATTCGAAGATTGCTGGAAAAACAACTGAATCAACCAGGACAGTGGAATCACACCGTTCCCTTTGACCTACCGATCCCAAATTTCCCGATGAAAACCCAACGAGCCATCATCGTATGCACGTTATTCCTGCACTACTTCTAAACAAGCTTTTTAATTTGTATTGCATCACCTTTCATTTTACAGCGAATGTTACGAATAAATTAGGCACATTGTCGCGTGGCCTAACCACCGACAAGTGGCATCGTCGATTTGTCGCCGTCGGGGGACACTTGATTGGCCGGCACCGGTCGGCGGCGCGTCGATCGGCCGACCGCCGCCGCCGCGGCGCGCGCGCGCGCGCTCTCCGATTCGTTGCTATCATTTGAACACGAGTGTACGATCACAGGGCGGCCCGGCGGCCCGGCGGCGCCCGCAGTCACTCTCTCTCGCTCTGCCAGTCTGTCCGTCTGTCTGTGCGCGTCACTCTCTGTGCCGGCCGGCGGCCGCGCGCACACCGCCGGCGCGACAATAGCGAGAAGGCAGCACACAGTCTATACAAAATTAGTACATAACGAGGAGGCGTTAGCTGTAGAAAACAGGCCACACAGCGGCGCTGGGCGGCCGCCGATATCACACTGGCCGGCCGGCCGGCCGGGCGGCGCTCACACCTCGTCAGGGCCCAGCTGGTCGGTGGCGGCCGGCACCTCCAGCCGGGCGGGACCGGCCGGCGCCGCGCCGCCGCCCGTCGCCGACTCGCCGTTGGCCGCCAGGCGCGCCTCCAGCTTCTGGATTTTGTCGTCATGTTTGACGATGACCGCCTTCATCTTGCGCATCTCCATCAGCATGTCATCGAACCGCTTCTCCTGTGGGGACGGAAGGACAGTGTGAGACTGACGACTCTTCTCCCGGAGCGCGGCGAGCGGCATCGCACACACGCCAAACAGCTCTAAGCAGCACAGTTTGTTTAACAGATTCCAAGCCCATTGCCACATAGAACCGCTGAATCAGAATGGACAGCCAAATCTCAATAATACACAATATAGTTATATGATGCAGCCCGACTGTACTAGCTATAAACGAACTGTCACTGAATTAACCGTCTAAACAAATTCCTCTTCATCAATAAATCGATAAAGAGAGGTCAGTGTCTACAGCTGCTGAGTGTCTGACAGTGTCACGGCCGCTGTCCAGCAACACGATTCGTGGCACGCCGTCTCCGCCGCTACCCGGCCGGTGACGTTAAGGACAGAGCGGGGATACAGACGGTACGAGACACTCACGTAGGCCTTGGTGGCGGTGGCGACGGCCTCGTCGACGCGCTCTTTGACAGCCTCCTCGGAAAGGCCGGCCGACTCGCCGTCCGCCGCCTCGGGCGCTCCCGTCTTCATCTGCGACGCCGTCCGCTTCTTGTCCAGCACGTTCGACTTCTTGACCACCTTCTTCAGCTCCTTCCTCGGCGTGGAGAAGACGGGACCGTCTGTTGGGGAGAACAGGGATGTTAGCAGTGTCAGCCACTCGCAGCTCGCTCCAGTACACAGTAAAACCGGTCGGATCTAGCATAAAACAAGTCAACTTTATCAGGCTAGGGTTCCTTTCGTAAGTTACATGACCTTCCATCTTAAAAAAAACGGAAGATACCATAACGGCCTACCCTGTTCAGGGACGCACATCAGACCCGTCGTGAATACTGGGTTTTTAACGTTCCAGCCCGTCCCTACCGAGTGTTGGTCCCTGCTGACAGTGTGCCTGTCCCACCTTGCAGAGCGCTTTATCAATAAACCCGCTCACCCTTCCCAGGATAAATCCTCCCAGTTATGAGCGTCCGTACTGCTGCTCTGAACGGATGTGACTGCTGGTATACTGACCTTTCAGTGAGATGAGGATAGGGTCGGCATCGGAGCCTTCCATCCACTCCTCTGCAGTGATGGCCGGTGTGTCGCCCACTGTGTCCGGGTATAGGTCCTCTTGGAACAGCTCAGACTGCCGGGCGGGGCGGAGGAAGGGGTCACTAACAGCTAACGATTCAGTCACTCAATCAAAGCTCAGACTGACCGGCGGGTTGGGGGAGGGGATCACTCATGTGAGTGATCAGTCACAGCTCAGACGTCCCGACGGAGAGAATAAGATCACAGATCTGCCACAGCACAGTCACAGATCAATCACAGTGCAGACTGCCCGGCGGCGGGAGAAGAGTTCACAGATCTGTTACAGATCCGACTGCCGCCTGCAGGTCACAGCTGATTGTCCATGGTCGCAGGTCAGACTGCCGCTTACAGGCCAAAACACAAAATCTGAGCACAGCCGGTCGACAAACAAAACGGAGACGGCGGAATCAAATTTCAGGCGAGTAAAAATAATATGGTCAGTCAGAATAAATAACGGTCGCACGATGCCACCGGGTGAATACCAATATTAACTGAGAGGTGCCGGCGCGGGCCCCAGAGCCCCTCTGTGCCGACTGCGACCACCGCCGTCACGACCCAGCGAGACTCGGGGTTCGGTCGCAGCGCAGTGCTACCGTCGGCCGCCGGTTTAATCGATAGGCCAGAGTCCCTCGTCGCCAGCGCCGCTCGGCCAGCCACGCAGGGATTCACGGCGACAGGACCCACTGCAGTCGGCGGGTCCGACAAGGACAATCGGGAACAGCCCACTCTCCGTAATGAGCCACGTGTTAAAAGGGGGCCCAACTGCGGGGGCTTTTTCATGCTCATCATTATGCACTTCAGCGACAGATGCTTGGAAAAATGAAAAATGACTGAGAGGAATTATAATCCCTACAGCTGTCCTCAATGATCGTTGCTCCAGTTACATATAAAATTCCCCGCGAGGCTATGTTACATGAGGCTGGCCGAATGAATTGACCGCTTTGTCAAACTGAGAAACATTGCCAAGAGACGGTAGAGCGTTTGGATGGGCGGTGATACCACACGAGCTAACTACGCGGCTGGCCATCGGCCGTCGACCAGCCGAGAGGGCTTCTCTTACCCCTCGCCCGCACATGCCATTTTCCCATCCTAGAAGGCACATGGGGGGGGGGGGGGTTGCCACCCCCCCGCGCCATTTCGTTCCTGTTGGAGATAGAGCTTAGCGGTAAAGACCAAAAAGATTCTTTGGGAAGAGACGAATCCAATGATACCCAGTTTTACCTTCTCAGGTCAGTCATTGACCTTCCAGGTCAGGTCAAACTAAAAAATGTTGCTGTTTTGGGTCACCGTTGGATATCAAGTGTGCTGCTTATCAAATACCGATGACGATGCTGTTTTCTGGTGCCAAGCCAGCTAGAACCTCTTTGTCACACTACCCGACCAGAATTTTGCTGCTGAGGTCATTTCAGGTCAAGTTAGGTCAAGGTCAATTATATGTGTTTGTATGTCTGTGTGTGTCTGTGTGTATACTGATGTGTGCACCGATTGTGTTTGGGTCCATATTACATGAAATCATGATCTGAGAAGCTTTTACCAAAAATGCAGTCAAAAAAAACTTCAAAAAAGTAAATTCAGCTTGCCTAAAACGCAATTATCTTAGATGACCTAGGTTGACCTTGACCCTGACCTTGACCCCTGTACATCGTCGAACAACATGTTCCATGATAGGTGGGAGGTAAGACTGGCAAAAAAGGCCGAAATCAGGGTGTCAAAAGCTCATAAAGCCCATGGCAAACGCAATATGTTGAGAATTGGCCATTTGGGTCATGACATGACCTGACAAACAAGGTCATATCTCCGAAACCAAAAATCACAGAAACTTGAAATTTTCAGTGGACATCAAGAAAGGATAGAGGAGCAACTATACGAAAAATCAGCCTTCTAGCTCTAAAAATGTTGAGTGCAGAGCAGAAAGACTACCTGGGGGGTGGCAACCCCCCCCCCCCCCATGTGCGGGCGAGGGTTAAGCTTCTCTTACCTTCCGCGGCACGACGAACGGATGTACGGCCACGAAGCCGTTGTTGTTGACCCGGTAAAACCTGGTGATCTCACACGCCTGCACGTCGCAGCCACGCTTCGGCATCATACCTGCGAGAGAGAGAGAGAGAGAGAGAGAGAGAGAGAGAGAGAGAGAGAGAGAGAGAGAGAGAGAGAGAGAGAGAGAGAGAGAGAGAGAGAGAGAGAGCAGGCGTGAGTGGTGAAACAGGTCATACCTGCGAGAGAGCGGGGGTCAGTGGGTGAGCGGCGCGACCCACTTATCATACCTGCGACAAAGTGAACGTGAGGTGAGCCACATATGGAATGGGGGCGCACCACCCGTAGGGCGTAGGCCACATAAAAGACAGACAGCTTATAATTAATATAATTTGATCGGATTCATAGCCGAAGATGTGACTACAGAGAACAACTGAACAGCAATGAACATCACTGGTGCCTGGCGGTAACCACCTATTCATATAATTAGATGGGCTTCCAATAGCCAAATGTACTTAGCATGCCTACATCAGCTGTAAGCATAGCGCGTATCCGTCAAGATACTGGCGCCATTCGAATATTTCTAGCGATATGAACGACCAGATGAGGCCGCGATGGGGAAGGCGAAGCCACTAACCGATGGCCCGCTGGGGGTCCGACGTCTGGAACGTGTTGATGTAGTGCACGAACGGCGGCTCCGGGGTGATCTCAAAGTAACGGATCACACTGTCACCCTGCCGGCGGAGAGGGGGAGACCGTCAGTCACACGAGACGCATAACAAGGATATTTAACATTTCAACATCAGTGTTTCGGCAGGTTTTAACCAATACTCTGCGCTGTCAAACGATTGATGCAGCTCCAGCTTATTGCTCATCACAACCACAAGGCAGCTATCAGGGTATATTGACTTCAGCTATAGCGGGATGCGCTATCAGAGGTTGGTGTGTTTACCACCAACTCTTAAGCCCTTAACACCAACGGTTCTTCTAAAGGCCGCCCCACACTGGACCTCGCATGCGGGTTACGAGTTTTTGGGTTTTCGTGTTTCTTCAAAATTAAATAACACAATCTAAGCTGAGTGACCCTCACTACCATATAACAAGCGAGTCTGCATGTTTTTAGCTTGCGAGCCACCATGCATCGCATTCCAAAAGTTGATATTGAGTCAACTTTCGATTTTCCTCGCTGCGAGGTCTGCGAGGTCTGCGAGTTCTACGAGGTTTGCGGGTTTTTCGTTGGAGTCGAATTTTGGTTCGCTGCGCTGGTACTGCGACTATATGTAATGTTCTGAATGTGTACCGGCTTCACTGCATTCATGAAGCTACCATAAGGGAACGGTCTTATCACTCTATGAATTAGTATTATGTCCGCAAACTCAAAGCCCGCAAACTCGCAACCCGCATGCGAGGTCCAGTGTGGGGCGGCCTTAACAAAGTCCGACTAACGACCGGTGCGGTTCCACTGTTCGCCACAGACAGGTCGGCAAGGTGGTCCTGAGTCATGTCAGAAGCTGACCTTCACCTTCAGTCAGTGTCAGCATCCAAAATCCATTAAAACAACGTAAACTGCCATATCGATTGACAAGTCGACCTTTTACCAGTTATCCACGGATGTACTGGGTCAAATCTAGGGCACACTTTGAGACGGCAGTGACTCAATGTTTTCACCGCCCACCGAGCGGGTCGGGCGATATCGACACTACCGTTTATACTGCTGACGCCAGGTGGCACTATCGCCTCCATTCGTCTGTTCCCAATCGTGTGGTCATACAGGGATAGAGCTCTGACAGGGTTTTCAAAAGCTGAGAGGCTACCGACGGCAGCGAGCTCAGTCAGAGGCTATCAGCGCCGACCAGTGAGTGTGCCACAGGCCATGACCTGCTGACCTGGTTCGTAAACCAGCGTTATCACCGACCAAAGGGCTCCCAGCCAGACGGGTCGGCCAGGCCGCCCCGAAATAGAGTCCCGCCGGCTCCGGGCCGGGCAGACCGACATACGTCCGACGCGATATCACGGCCCGGACGCAGAGGCGCTCCAGGACCGTCAGCAGCCGAGCGGAGACGAACAGGTTTCAGTAAATTTGAACCGGCCTTTTTTGACGTGCATAAAGGCACTAGATAATAATTGCCCCATCAAAATAAGCCAGCAATGCAGGCTATAAGCTGAATCAGGCAGGGCAAGTCTTGTTCCTTCATTTTCAACGAAGGAAGACTACCGTTTGCCTTGACATTTCCTTTACATTTTCCACGGATGAGGGGTAGGCTTGTCTCTTCATTTTCTTTACAGGTAGGATAACTGCCAGTAAATATATAAATCTTATACGAAAGAAGCCCATGTAAACAGTCAAGAAAGGGGTGTCATGTATGACACTGCATTTTCAGTGACCATATGATGTCCCAGAGCGATCGAGCTACCGCGTGTCGCAGTCGTACCTTTCCGCAGAGGTAGACGAGGTTGGTGTCGGGGTCGTACAGCGGGAACATGACGCCGTTGCTCGTGTCCAGCTCGGTCATCACGATCGGGTCGTTGAGGTGGCCGGGCGCCCGCAGAGAGTACTGCCGCTCCGACATCTTGCTGAAGCCAGTGGTGAACACCAGGCCGTTCTTCATGAAGATGGCCCGCGAGCCCTTGCTGCCTTCGTGCGAGGTGGCCTCCTGTGAAACGAGACGGCATCGGTTAGGTCCAGCGTGCAGAGACGTTAAGGGCCAGTCAGGTTCGGGACGTAGGATCGTGGCAGGTCATGTGAGGTCAACATGAGGTCAGGTTCGCTTTGAAGGACAAAGTAGGTGTGCATTAATATATTATACTCGTTTGTTATACTCGAGGCGTAAGCAACGTCCCAGACGGGGTATTGACATTTACTTGTGCCTGCGCGTGCGACTGTGTACGAGGGCGCGAAAATAAAGCACGTTTGTACGTCTGGGTATGTAAGAGCCCGTGTGTGACGCTACATGAGCCTCCCCCTCCCCCCCCCCCCCCCCACCTGCACACACCCAGTCATAAAGTCATGCCGCGCGTGTGACGTGGCAGCGGCATCAAACGTCTTATCGCCCGACCGACTTAGGACCGTGTTCGAGCGCGGGGGCGCACCGCGCCGGCAAACCGAATCAGACCAACAGGGAGCGAACCGACACACCGCATCAAACCAACACCGCACCGGGCCCCCAATCACAGGGCGCTGAACTGGGTCAGCTGCAGCCCGGGTGCTGTCAGCGCTGCGGTGAGCGGGCCGCACAGGTGTAGGATAATACGGAGGTGGGCGGCCGGGGCAGCCCGGGGCGCGGCCGGATATCGCAGGGAGCCGAGACGACCGGCAGCGCTATCGGCGCGGACCGCGGCGCTATGACCGATAGGAGGCCGCCGGGCGGGCTTAGCACGGCACGCCGGGAGGATGTCGGGACGGGGAAGGCGCTTCTGGTGAGTTGTAACTAGACATAGAATGACTGTTCAGTTGATTGGGATGTCCGGTATCCAGGTGGGCTGTACCGAGACGGTATCCGAAACCTATTAGCGTCATCGCCTCCTCCATGACTCAGGGGCACGGTATCCAGTAATCGGGGCGCGAATCGGCGCGGCTGCGTCACTACTGCCCCCTCCTCCCCCTCCCATACCCACCTCCTCGACCTCGCCGGTGCGCGGGTCCAGCACGCGGATCTTCTTATCCTTGCTGGTGACCAGCAGCTTGGAGCCGTCCCAGGCCCAGCTGGCCGACCAGATCTGGTCGGGCACCGTGTCGATCACCACCATGGCCTCGCCGGTGCCGACGTTCCAGATGATGATCAGGTTGTCGCTGCCGGCGCTGAGCAGCACGTTGCTGGCGGACGGGTGCCAGAGCACGAGGCCGACGCGCCGCTGGTGGTGCACCAGGTCCACCACCGGCTCTGTCATCGTGCGCGTCAGCCCGTAGTCGTGCAGCTGCCATACTGCGGGAGGGAGGGCGGAGCGCCTCAGACACACGGCAACATATGTATAAAGACATTAATACAAACCACACAGCGCGCACGCCGCACAATCATCACAATGGCAATCACATACCTGATTGATAGCGGAGAAATTGACATTGGAATACCGGAGCGGAAAACAGAAGGCAAACAGATGCGAGTACGAAGTTCTATGTAAACCCAATTTTCACTCGAATCATCACACTGTATTCATCGAAGCACCTACCAGATTCGTCATGTTCCGGACTATCGTTTTCAAGCTTCCGTTTTGTGTTTATTACGGAGCGAGCGAAGCGAGCGGAGTCTTACGTAGAATAACGGAAATTTCTGAGTATGAGCGTCACGGTTTTGCGACGCTTATATCTCAGCAACCACTTGACCGATTTACATGCGGTAATTTTTGTAGGGTAGCTTCATTCCTTCTACCAAGTATTGGACTATTCCCGATGCATGTGGGTGACCCCTTATGCACGTGCCACGTGCAAAACGAAGAGGTGTCACTTTTGTAATAGTTGCAATATCTCGGTAACTACTGGGCAGATTGTGCTGAAAGTTGGCATGTAGGTAGGCACCCACTAGGCAATGCATATCCATGTGCCATAGTTGGGGTGCTGCTGCACGTGCGCACGTGCAGGGGTCGATTCCAGATCTCGAGAACGGATGGACCGATTGCGCTCAAATTTGGTACACGGTTACGGAGCAGTTAGTAGGGTGCCGTGCACAAGTCAGTTGGGACCCATTTTGCACGTGCGCACGTGCAGGGTGCCGCTTCCAGATGTCGAGAACGGCTGGGCCAATTGTGCTCAAATTTGGCACATCGCTAGAGACCGGTTAGTAGGGTGCCGTGCACAAGTCAGTTGGAGGTACCCCCTCGCAATTTCGCACGTGCAAGGCCCACCCCCTCGCTCGCTCCGTTAGTCGCCCCAAAAGGCGTTATACTGGTTTTATGCATCGTGGGTTTATGCCCATTACACGAATTCTGTGTCACCATATGACTTTCGCTTAATGTGATACTGTTGCAGTCCCTTTGACACTTGACCGAGTCAGTACAATTGCATGAATTGTACTATCGTACATTGCACTGCACACTCATGGTTTCATAGTCGAATGCATGAGATCACTCGGTGAGTAACCGACCTCGGCCTCGGGGAGTATCTTATGGCTGGTGTGTCCGACAACTCAGGGCTTGTTAATGTCTACCGATGACCAGCCAGCGTTACCGCCGTAACCCGGGTGTGTCCACTGTCCACCCGTTTCAGCAGGCCCGGGAACTCCTCCGTCGTGACGTCACAGGCCGACAGGGTGCGGACGGCGCGGCGGCCTGTCAGCCTGCCAGCCGCGGCCCAGTAACAGGAGCCCGCCGCACCGCCCCACCGCGCAGTTAGATAATGAGCACTCGGTGGGCATGGCAGGCGCTCCGATCAAAGCTGACCTCCGGAAACATTTTCCTCGACCGGCTCCTACCCAGGAGATGGCAGAAACTGGGAAGCATTCGCTCAAGCGCAAAGTACTGACGTTGTGCCAGCCGGTGTCCAGCTTGAACTCGGTAGGCACACGGGTCTACTATGCAGATCTTTCGGTTAGATGGTATGTCCCGAAGGCACGGTCTCGCTACACGTCCCTAGTAACGCTCCGATCCAGCGGGCCAGAGAAATCGGAAAACTCCCAGTCAGTGTGAGTGCCAGTGCCATCTGGGGTCACCGGTAGAAAGCGTGGGGTCAGGACAGCACCGATTGCCGGGTGCCGAAAACTCGCAGTCGAGCGTGAGGCATGTGCCTTTACTGTCATGGCATGCACGGCTGCGGGTGACAATAAAATACAAATCGCACACCAAAAATGTGAAATATGAGTTGGCCATCCGTAATTCAGAGCGGTGCGGGGGACAATAGGCAGTAGGTAGGTACGGCGCGGCGGTCGGCAGTCTCGGCCGGGCGCGCCCCTCTCGGCCGCCGGCCCGCTGTTTGAACAGCGCCGCTCGCCGCGGCCCGGTCGGGACGGACTGCCCGGCGGCGGCCGTATCTGCTCAGCTGCGCCATATACGGCGGCCGCTCTCTGCACTGGCCGGGACGCGCTCGGCCGGCTGGCTTCACCACCGGATGGCGGACGTCCTGTCCGGATGGAGCGGCCGGCAGCCAGGCGCCAGAGCCGTGGTCCACTCACCACAACCGCGGCCAGCCCGCCGCAGCTGGTGACACTATCACCACCGCAGCCACAACCACGGCCAGTGGCCACCTCCACCACTGTTGGTCGCCGGGTGGTCCCAACCACCACCACGACTAATCGTCCGTCACATCCCAGGCCGGCAGTCCATCACTACCATCACACCATGTCACCAGTGGTCAGTCACCACCATAGGTCACCATTGTCTACACGGGTGTCCGGCACCATTTATGACTGCTTGCAATGCATCGTTCAAAGTTTCTACAGAATCTGCGGAGCACTTTGCATTATATGCCAAGTTCAGAAACTGTTCCCATTTTTCAACTTAATTTTCACATGATCACTGATCGGTCATCAAAACAATGCGACAGGTTATCATGATATGTAAAACCAGGCCCCTTTTCGACCTACGGAGCGCGGACAGTTTGGAGTATGGGCCATGTTCAGACAGACGAATGTAATCACACCACGTTCGGCGGATGCGGGTCAACCATATTCCGCAGCTGTGCCGACCGGGCGGCCGGGCGGCGTCACCCACCTTTGACGACGCAGTCTTCCGACGACGAGGCGATCACGTTGTCGTTGAACGGGTCCCAGGCGATGTCGAGCACTGGCCCCTTGTGGCCGCCCACAATGGGCGCGTCCGGCGCCTGACGGCCCGTCTGCCGGCACGCGTCAGGACAGGTCAGCTCGAGTCAGCTCGGGTCAGCTCAGGGCAGGTCGGCCACTCTCAGGCTGGCTGGTAAGCGGCCCCCATCAGGTGCGGCGGCACAATGCGCGTAAATACGCACCCAAAAATATCACAGTGAAACTTTGTCATTCACATCCAGCTTCACGTTCAGTTTTTGAAGGAGGTAGCAATTATGAAGATAAAACTGGTAGCACTTGCACCTGCTAAGCAGTTTACACCGTCCCGTAGGACATGGATCAAGTGGTAAAAAGCATGTTCCCGACAGAAAAGTTATAAGAAACTTACGAAAAAATAACGAGATCAAGCTGCACAGCCCTCATATGTCTAGGGAGGCCGGCGCCCGCGCCATAATGAAAGTTAAACTTATGACACCATACATGCTACCATTTTCTAAAACCGAAAGGCAAGTGGAGATTCATATAAAAGCAGGTGCCATTGGCACACTAGCCACTCAGCTATGCGTATTAATGTCCCATGTAGGAACATATGTGAGAGAGAGAGAGAGAGAGAGAGAGAGAGAGAGAGAGAGAGAGAGAGAGAGAGAGAGAGAGAGAGAGACAGAGACAGAGACAGAGACAGAGACAGAGACAGAGACAGAGACAGAGACAGAGACAGAGACAGAGACAGAGACAGAGACAGAGACAGAGACAGAGACAGAGACAGAGACAGAGAGAGAGAGAGAGAGAGAGAGAGAGAGAGAGAGAGAGAGAGAGAGAGAGAGAGAGAGAGAGAGAGAGAGAGAGAGAGAGAGAGAGAGTTCATCTGTCCCTTTGGTGCTGACTAGCGAAAGCTATCAACTGTCACTGCCGTACAAATACAAAAAGTAACAAATGTATGCCTAATTACATGTGGATGTTCGTCTATTTCAAGTGCAGCATCTCATCTATGATCTAACTTCATTTCACATCTACCAGAATTTCACGACTAAAAACGTGAGCTACAAGCGGCACTGGCCACGGTAAACGGACAGAGCCATATACAAACATGAGAGGCAGTGTGTAGCCGCTGACCATCTGTGGTATACACACAATGGTCGTGTCACGTGCTTCATGCGTGAATCGCTGATAGTAACTAGGACCGCGCTAGATAGGCGGTTGGGCACGGTGCTACTGTATCTGCTGGGTTTCCCGGATGAGTGGGGTTAGTACCGACCCGGTCGGACGGTGGGCGGCTGCGTACGGTGGTGTATCTGTTTTATCGGCACAGCTGGGCGGCTACCCTCCGTGGAGTACCGGCTGAGTGGGTACTGTACCGGCCCAGCCGAGTGGCTAGGTCAATGGGTGCTGGGTATTGTCCCATCCCAGCTGGGCGGCTGGGTCAGCGGGTACTGGGAACTCGACACTGGGCACTGTATCGGCCCAGCGGCTGGGTCAGTGGGTGCTGTAGTGGCCCAGCTGGGCGGCTGGGTCAGTGAGGCCGCCAAGTCGACCGAAGCTGGCCACAGCGGCCGGCCAGCTCACCGCCATTCCGTGACAGCCCGACCTGTTCGGTTGAGAGACTGCACGTGATGTGAATCGTGCATCGTACTCTACGCCGTATGCATTGTTCGGCGCGGCGGTGCGGTGAGGCCGCGCGGCGCACGCGCTCGGCGGCGGATGATCCGACCGATAGGCGGCCGCGGCTGGCTGGCCCAGCTGGCTGCCGCTCCTCCGGCCGACGCGGCGGCCCCCTTATAAGGTGGCGGCGCGCAGCCGGCCGTCGGTCGGCGGCCGCCGCCGCGGCTCCCACACGCCGGCCGGCGAGAGCTGACACGGCGACCCCGGCGAGCGCGCGCCGCGAACCGCTCCCGGCCGCCGCCGCCGCCGCTCGGCACTCGGTCGCAGCCGGCTCTGAGAGCGCGGTGACGTCACCGGCCGGCGCTGAGCGGTACCGTGCGTGGCCTGGCGCGCGCCGGTCAACGCAGCCGGCCGTATTCGGCGATTGGCGGGCGAACGGCGGAGAGACGGGAGTGACGGCCATCGGCAGCTCGCGCGCGCGCCGACGGCACCTGGGCCACCGTATTTTTACGTGCCATCGGCCTCAGAGGTCTATTAATAACGATGAATCATTTGTGGGTCGGACGGGCGGTACGGAGGTGCCACCCGCCGCGAGACCTACCTGAAGCGGTCTCGGCTGCAACAATGTCTACCTACCTGCAGCGACCGCCACCGCCTTCGGCCGCGCACGCGGGCGAGAGAGACAGGCCGTTATGATACAATCGGACCAAAGTACGGCCAGAACACCGGACAGAACACCGGACAGACGGCAGTGAGCAGACACAGAACAGGACACACCCACGTGACGGCGCCATCGTGTGACCGGCACAAGCCAAGGGCGGACGGGCGGGCCCGCTACCCAGGGGTGGCACGAGGCACGGCCACAATAACCAGGAAAACCCACGGCCCGCTAACAACGGTCAGCAGCCCACTAAACAGACAGCTGAAAGTGCACCAGCTCATGAGTCCGGGCACGCGTGAGCCTCGTGTTTCATTAACAGTAAAAACATTCACACCTAAAGCCAATGAAGTGGCAAAATAACTTATTTACACGAGCTAGTAAACAGTGTTGCAAAACATCACGGAGGCTGACACGCATGGAGTCCGGTGTCCATGCCTGCAATTTCTAAAAAATATTTATTTAGATCAATGAAGTAGGTATAGGTAAGCAATGTAACCTATTGTAAAGCTAGGCCGGTGCATTTTATCAATGAGCACTGTTAATGTAATATTTGCGGCGCTTCATTTCATATGCATATAGATGCTAGAGCCAGATAACACGAAAGTAGATGCTTGAGAACTAGAGTGCCGAATGCCGATGATGATACACATAGTCAGTCCCCTCTTAAATTCGATTTGGACGAAAACTACGTTATTCGACACGCTGCAATGATGCACATCTTCATACATAACGTCATTCCCTAAATGGCGCTCAAGCAATATCACAAGACCTCATGAAACTTTTCAAAACACCTAAACCCACTTCTTATCATAGACAAAACCAAACAGCCGGATTGCATTGACAGTTACGTCAGGGGGTTGACACTAATTGCGATTAACAGTTTCGCGATCATTAGGTTGTAGCATCGATTATTTGATTTTCTGGAAAGCATTGATGAGGAGCCAAGCGGTGATGATGAGTCGATCCAACCGCAATGCTAGCACTACAGCTTCAACTCTGGCTAAATTTCCGGTCCCGACTGACTCCAGCAGAAGTTCAGCTGTTGCTGTTGCTTTAGATTTTAAGAAGTTGTGCTTTAGTCTGCGCCCCATAAGGAGTATTCACTCGACTGCGCCCCCTATGGAAAGGCAGATTTGCCTTTGACTTCCGAGCGGCTGATCGCAGAAAGACCGAAAACAGCATTCAAAAGCTCTAGACCAGACAGTTCTTAATAAGAACACTTTTACTTGCTTCGATGTGTACCTATCAAGACAGGTAAAAGTATTATCAGAGGTCAAAATGACAAGTTTCGTCAATCTTGGCTACAGAACTTAGCTGACAAAGACGTGACTCATTGTACGACTGCGTCTACCGAGAACGACTACGCATATTACCGGGACAAAGTTCAGTTCATGACATGCCATACCAAATTCAAGGTTCAGGCATCAGGCTACCAAATGCAATCAAAAACTGGCTATTGCATTAGATACCTAGGTACCTATGTGCGATGCTTGTGCGATAGTCGATAATACGACCAACACTTGGGAAGGACAGCCTTCCTTAGAGGAATAATCTAACCTAATTTCCAAATCATAAGGAATCACAAGAAAAAAAATGTAATATTCAGGCCAATATTCTAATCAACATACTCGTGTTCTGATAGCATTATTCGCTTTTTTCATATCTTGCTCCTCGCGCGTAATCATGGTCACTGACCAATGGCCATAGACCGATTTAATCATTGTTCGATTCTAAAAACGAATTTATTGCGTGCAACGGTGCGACACATTCGTCAAAGGTCCAATCTTTGGCGGTCGTCTTTTGTCAAAAAGGTGGAGGCTTTTTAAGATTTAACTTTAACCCTCGCGCTTATAAGGGGGAGGCCGGAGGGGTAAAACGGACACCTCCGGTTTTTCGCGAATAGCTCGCGCAAAAAGTGGCCGATTGCCATGAAACGTTCAGTACCTACCCTCCAGTTGATCAATTTTACACCTGCCCTAAAAAAGTCATTACCCTGACCGAAATGACCATCGACCTGTTTCTTGAGATCATGTCAGGCCGGAATCGTGATTCGGCGTATGTCGGCGCACATTATCCTCGCGTTTCCAGTCTGTGGTTGTAAACGTTGTAACAGGTGAAATGATCTCCCATGCATTATAGTGGGTGTCAAGGTCACGTGAAGGTCAGATCAAGGTCATGGACCTTAGATGACCTTGGCCCACTTTTTCGAGTTTTACCTACATGTGTCTACGCTAGGTTTTGGAGCTGATTTCAAAATTTAGCTTCCATTTGAACTATTGGGAAGACGTTTTGGTGCCTACGTAACATGTTACGAAGTTGTCACTGGTGGTTGACACCTACTACGGCAAGACATCTGCTAGTTGACCTGACCCGACCTACCCCAAATGCATGAACAGTGAACACATCATCTTTGATCATCAATAACGGGAAATTCGTACCTATAACCACTTCATCTTAAAATAATATTGCAGGTCCCGATTTTCCCGACTTTTGATTTTGAGTCCTTGACATAACATGGAAGGTCAACCAATGACCAAGGACCTTAAAATTGGGTACATCGGCTTCCTTTCGTCACGGGCAGCACACTGTTCTTTTTTCACGAAAAATTAGCTCGATCATGGACCAACGGCAGGAGGGGTCAAACGGACCTCGCTCCCCCCCCCCCTATACGTAAGCGGCTGGCAAAACGCCAATACTGGCGAGGGTTTAAATTAGTGCCTTGCGTTGCAAATAGCGTCCAGGTAAGCGAGCCAATCGATAGCATTTTTCAATTCTTAGTCAGTTTAGGTCACTTAAGACATCAACTGTCAAAGT